TTACTGTCAAGCACAGAGTAAGCATACAATGAACACTGGTTATGTGAATGAATGACTGAAGGGAGCTGGGAGGAGGATCTTCTAAGAAGGTATAATTCAAGAGAATGAGTGCTAAAATAGACAATACGAGTGAAAAGTTCTGTGACTGCAGAATCTTCTAGAAAATAAAAGATCATTTGTGAGATTATGGCTTCTTAGGCCGTCATTACGTTTTCTATACTGAATTATGAAATGAAAGGAAGGGAGTACTCACACTTTTAAAAATGCCCATCTTCCCAGGTTAAGGCAGTGTTTGTAATAAGCTTCTGCCTGGCATAGCTTAAGCAGGCTAATATAGTTGCCCAGTTTCAGTGGTTTCCTGAGTGCTATGGCGGGTGGAGACCAGGGAAGACTTAGCTGTACTTAAAAGATTTCAGTTGTCGCTAAGAACATATATTTTAAGAAAAAGCTTGTATTAACTTCTGATTATGCAAATAAATTAGAAAATAAACAAATATAAAGAGAAAATGATCACTTAGAATGTCTCCAAATAGATGTCCTCTGTTAACAGTTTGGTTGTATAATCTAGATTTTCCTGTGAGCATATATCTACCCGCTTATTAGTTTAAAATTTTTTTTAAGTTTATGTATTTATTTTGAGAGAGACAGAGACAGAGACAGACAGAGAGAGAGAGAAAGAGAAAGACAGTGCGCAAATGAGTGGGGGAAGGGCAGAGAGAGAGGGAGAGCCCAACATGGGGCTCCATCCCATACACTGTCAGATCATGACCTGAACTGAAATCAAGAGTTGGACGCTTAACCGTCTGAACCACCCAGGTGCCCACTCCCCAAATTTTTTTTTAACTTACAAAAAATAGAATCCTACTTTATATACTATTGTATAACCTCCTTTTTTCATTTAACAATATACCATGATCCTTTTTCCATAAATGTACAAGTATAAACTGAATGACTGATTTGTATTCCATAGTGTGATACATCTCTTACGATAGAATCTTTCAATCATATCCATTTTTTGTAGGAGCATTAAAAGTGTCTGAAACTTCATTAAACCTTTAGTGAAGGCATTAAAAATGGAAGTCATTAATGAAGACAAACTTAAGCGTTTAAGGTGCATTCCTTTAAGACGAAAGAAATGACAGAATGGTGTTATAGGAATGTGTTCTACTGCAGAAAAGTATTTAAAATTTTTTTTTAATTTTTTTTTCAACGTTTATTTATTTTTGGGACAGAGAGAGACAACGCATGAACGAGGGAGGGGCAGAGAGAGAGGGAGACACAGAATCGGAAACAGGCTCCAGGCTCCAAGCCATCAGCCCAGAGCTTGACGCGGGGCTCGAACTCACTGACCGTGAGATCGTGACCTGGCTGAAGTCAGACGCTTAACCGACTGCGCCACCCAGGCGCCCCTTAAATGTTTTTTTTTATGTAAAAGCACAGATACTGGACCTGATTCAAGGTTCAGAACTTGAGGCCATTTGTTTCTGACTCAGTTTGAAGCTGAGGCCATCACCATCTTAGCCAAATAGTTAGGTTTTCTCAGGCAGATTTTTCAGCTGATTTCATTTCACAGATAAAGGCTTCCTGTTTAAAATCTACAGAGTAGTAAGCTTTTTTTTTTTTTTTAAGATTTAATTTTAAGTAATCTCTGTACCCAACATGGGGCTCAAACTCACAACCCCAAGATTAAGAGTTGCATTTTCCTTTTTTTTTTTTTTTAGCTTTTTAGAAGTTTATTTATTTTTTGAGAGAGAGAGAGACAGAGCAGGAAAGGAGTAGAGAAAGAGGGAGAGAGAGAGGATCCCAAGCAGGCTCCACACTGTCAGCACAGAGCCAATGTGGGGCTTGAACTCACAAACCGTAAGGTTATGACCTGGGCCAAAATCAAAAGTCAGACGCCTAACCATCTAACCGACTGAACTGCCCAGGTGCCCCAAGAGTTGCATTTTTGGAAGAGACTGTAGGCATATGGAAAATCAGAAGGATAATAAGAGTAATTTTCATTGTCCACCCAATAATCATACCCTTAGCCTTTGGTTTTGCCCAAATTTAAGTGTGTGTGTATATGTGTGTAAAATAGTGAAATAATGGAAATTTAAATTCTGTATTTGTTCACAGTTTTGTTTCATTACCTGAATTGATGATCAGAGTATCTGGACAATTGACTTAGTCCCTCATTTACAAGGTGGTCTGAATGTTTGTGTCTCCCCAAAATTCATATGTTGAAAGCCCAATTCCCAAATGTGATGGTATTAACTAGGTGGGGCCTTTGGGAGTTGCTTAAATCATGAAGGTGGGACCCTCATGAATGGGATTTGTACCTGATGTAAAAGGCTCCAGAGAGAGTCTTTGTTTCTTCCTGGATGTGAGGATGTAGGGAGAAGTCTGTGATCTGGAAGAGAGCCCTCACCCGACCATCCTGGCACCCTGATCTGAGATTTCCAGCTTCCAAAACAATGAGCAATAAGTTTCTGCCGTTTGTAAGCCACCCATCACCTAATCCCCCTATGTGAAGTAGATTAAGAGGTACAAATATCCAGGGGTGCCTCGTTAGTTCAGTCTGTTAAGTGTTGAACTCGTTCAGCTCAGGTCGTGATCTCACAGTTTGTGAGTTTGAGCCCTTTGTCCGGCTCTGCACTGACAGCATGGAGCCTGCTTGGGATTCTTTCTTTCTCTCTCTCTCTGCCATGCTCTCTCTCTCTCTCTCTCAAAATAAATAAATAAAAAGGTACAAACATCCAGTTACAAAATAAATAAATCATAAGTCATAGGGATGTAATATACAGTATAGGGAACAGTCAATAATGTTACAATAACTTTGTATAGTGACAATAACTAGACCTATCTAGGTGATCATTTCATAATGTATAAAGATACTAAATCTCTATATCATATACCTGAAACTAATATAATATTATGTATCAACTTTAATTCAATTTAATAAAAAAGCCACCAGTCTGTGATATTTTGTTACAGCAGCCCGAATGGACTGAGACAGAAGGTAAATGAATAAGTATTTTCAACAGCCTTAATTTTACAAATATTTTAACAGATAGACAAAATAAAATCAAGGTATAATCCTCCCCTGCATTTTTTTCTTTTCTTACATAAATAGATAAAATGCATTTTGCTTCCTATGTATGCTGCATTAATAGAAGTTTCTATAGAAAGGAAATGTAGTAAACATAATTTTTACTAAACTCCAGATTCAGGACGGTAGTTACCTGTGCTGGGTAAGAAGTATATTCTTTGTAACTAGAATATTAGAGTTCCCATCAATGACACAAATAATGAAGCAAATATAAACAAGTATAACAAAATGTTCAAGGTCACTTAAAGAGAAAGTGTACTTCCTCAGCCAAGCTTCTTTGTAACTTGATTGAGGTTATTTACATATCTAAACAAGGTATGTGAGTTGGAGGTGGGGTCTAATGAAAGTTTGGAAAGGGAGAGTCATTAGAGCAAACTCTGAGTCTTCTGCGAGTATTTACTGAATTATACTGTAAGGAGAAAAAACAAGGCTAAACAATTTGCCCAGCTAGTAAAAAAGCAGATCTAAGATTCAAATCCATGAGAACGTTTTGCTTCACTGAAAATGTTGCATGGATCTCTTTAATATTTACTAAACACCTTTTATGTGTAAGGCATTTTGCAAGGGCAGAGTGCATATATATGATGAATCAGATATTTGTGGAGATATACAAAGAGATGTACTTTGCTTTCATACAGACTGTTTTGAATCCCAGATTCTTGGAAAATTAGTCTTTTAACTGCAGGTTTTAAGTTAGGACATTGAAGTGGTTGTTTCAAAAAAGAAAAAAAAAAAGAGAAAGAAACAAGAAAATGTATCTATTAGTGACCAGCACACAAGAGGCCCTCGATAAATTTAGTTTTCCTCTCCCTAATTCCACTATAAATTTTCTGGAAGCTATGTGATCAAGTAAGTCTTCATGGAATGGGGAAGTTTGTAAATGATTTGAACCATAAGATGGGTTCTTGATTTGGACTGGTTGAGATGGCAGAAACAGCAAATGTAGTGAAGTGTGAGGGCTGTGAGTAGATCCTGTCCACTGGAGTACACAGGGAGAGAGAAAACCAGAAGCTGTAAAGGTCAGGTTGCCTGCCTACTTGCAAAATCTCCTTCCGTATAGTGTTGGGTCCTACAAACGTAGTATTATGACAAAAGCCTGAAATCAAGGCATCTTCTCTGACTAGATCTCTAAAAAGCAAGTTTCTCTGTATATTGGGCTTTATTGATTCATTTAACACTCTACACTTTTTCAAATAATATCTAAGATTGCAGTTAAGATCTAATTGCTCGAATCTGAGGATGTGGTAATCATAAGACATTGTCCCAGTTTTCAAGGAGAAAATGTTTACGTGTGTATAACAATTTAAATACGTTTAGAGGTGACAGACATCAATAGCCGCACAAAGGAAGAAAAAGATTTTCCCTTGGGGCAGTTCAGCTCTAAAGTCATATGAAAATAGACATATTTTACAGACTATAAAATTAGACGCCATTCTTACACATTTAAAAGAAAGAAAAGGACAATTTTTCACAATGTCAACTGTAACTCTCGTTTGGCGACGCTGTAGGGCAAAGCCCGCAGAAAAACAGAGGAAGCGTGATTAAGTCTTACTGAGTTAAACCGCTCTCCGAAACCAGTCCGCCACATTTTTCCTTAAAAAAGTAGAAGCGTGTAGAAATTACACTCCTGGCTTTTAAAGGAACATACAGCTGGGAATACCAAGAAGAGGAACGCGAATGTCGCAGTTCTCCAAGTGCGGCCCGCCCCTCCCACAAGGTAGATTTTTGGCAACTTGACCCACCTTCCTCCTGATTCTGGGGGAAGATTCTAACGCCCTCTGGAGGCGTCCCTAGTGACGTCACGAGCGCGATTCCAGTATGTGGCCAATCACAGAGCCGGATTCCGGGGGAAGCCCGGGGCGGCGGCGGCGGCCTGTGCGCGTGCGTGAGGTCTCCGCGTGGCTATATAAACATGGCTGGCGTGGCCGCGCGCTGGGGCCACGCCGAGTGTGTGTAGGGGGCTTTGGGGCGCTCCGGGTTTGTAGTTTTTAAATTTCTGGCGGGGGAACTGGGGCGCAGAGTTTTTCTGGGTGGTGGGAGCCGAAGTGACGCCCTTCCGGGAACCGCGCAGCCGGGCTCCGCTGTAGCGGCACCCGAGGCTGAGGCGCCGGGCTGAGCCGGCGCACGTGTGAGCTCCCCGGAGGAAGCGGCGAGCGGCCGGGCAGATGTTGCTGCAGCCGGGGCCGCACTAACCGGAGGGAGGTCTGGGACGCGCGGGTCTGTGTCCAGCCGGCGTCCGTCACTGACTTCTGTGTCGCGGCCCCTGCGCCTCTCCCTAGCGATGCTGTGGAGCCGGAACTGCTCTGGAGTCGGCTGCAGCTTGTCAAGCCTCCCTTCGCCTCTGCTCCCGGAACGGCAGCGTCGCAGCTGCCGCTGATCCACCTGGGGGATGCCCGCGGGTCTCACGGAACCGGCCGGCGCCGCTCCTCCCGCCGGTGTGAGCACCTCCGGGACCGTGACCATGGCCCCCGCTGGGACTCTCCCTGTGCGGGTGGAGAGCACTCCGGTGGCCTTGGGCGCCGTGACTAAGGCTCCTGTCAGTGTCTGTGTGGAGTCCACGGTGTCCCAGCCCCTGCGGCCCCCCGTGGGGACCCTGGTGACCAAAGTGGCTTCTGTCAGCGCTCTTCCTAAACTCAGCAGCGGTCCTCCGCTGCCTGCTCCTCAGATAGTCGCTGTGAAAGCCCCCAACACCACAACAATCCAGTTGCCTGCTAATTTGCAGCTTCCTCCAGGTATGTCGATCACCTTTTCCAGCTTTTCCAGCCAGTGGTGACACGGGAAACGTCGCAGCTCCGGATTGTGCCTTCATGGTGTTAGCTTTAAAAAACTCAGCTAAGAGAACCTTTCATAATCGACTTTGCAGGGCAGTGATTTGGCTTTACAACTGATATAGCCTCTTTGAGTCATTACTGCACAGTTTTTCTTTCCATATTTAAGGAAAGACTCTTTTCACCTAAGTGACACTGAAAGCTGGAACAGTATATTCAGGAGGACCTTTGAGGCACTAGCTCCTAGGTGGGGGAAGATAGAATATAACTAAAGTTTATTTTCATATGCAGAAGAGACCAATTTATATATCTACATGCTTAGATAACCATATCTTTTTTTTTTTAAAGTTTAAGTTCTTGTGTGTTAAGACTAAAAGAGGATTTTAAATTTAAGCTAGCTAAAATAAGTTCACTGCTTTTCTGGTACCAGAAATGAGTAATGCTGCTTCCCTCACAATCTTTAGATGTGTGATGGTTGTAGTTTTCAGTTAGAAGATTACCACTCGTTCCCAGCAAATGCCAGAGTTGACTGATCAGAGGCATGCGATTCTTAAATCTGAAGCAGTGTGTGAATGCTGCAGTTAGCCTGTGACCACTTTTTATGGAAGGGTCTACATGTTTGGGCTGTTTTTCATGATTTACGTAAAGATTTTGCTTTGTGACTCTTCAGCATATTGTAAATTTGAGTGTTCTGCTTTCTTTCCTCAACTGAAGGTGTCTTGGAGTTTTCAGTCGGGAAAAAAGGCACATCTCACATTCTTTGGAGTGAACTCTTCTCGTAGTTATATTGTCTTCTGTTTATTTTATTAGTAGTATTTGGATCTCAGACCTGCAAAGATGGTATAGGAGTGAAGCATTTGATTCAAAATTTCAGTATCCCCTAGCAAAATGATAGGGGCTCTTTTGTAGCCAATGTTCTATTTGATCAAGAATGTTGTGGAAAGATCATGTTCTTCACTTTTGATGAAGTTCTGTTTCAGTTTTGTATTCTACAAGATATATATATATATTTAAGGCTATGGCGTGTATGCCACTGGATACATTTTCTGCCGGTTCTAAATTGTCATCCTGCATATACTTGTAAAGTACTTAATGAATGTGTTTGAATGAAATCACCTCCTAATTTGTTAAAAACTAAATTCTTGTCAGTGAAGATTGTTTAGAAACAGTCAAAAAAGTATTAAAATAGAGGAACTGTCGAGAGTGAAAACTTGCTGGTAAGTGGAAACTAATCAGTAATCACTGGTATACGTGCTATACACACTTTCATATTTATATTCTTTTTGTTGGTCATAATAGGTAGCAAATAAGGAAAGGTTTCTAAGCGTAAATAATTTGTCCAATGCCAGACACCTCATGGGTGTCAGAGGGAATTTGAATCCAGGTCTGTTTACTTTTTTTTTTTTTTTTTTAACGTTTATTTATTTTTGAGACAGAGAGAGACAGAGCATGAGCGGGGGAGGGTCCGAGAGAGAGGGAGACACAGAACCCGAAGCAGGCTCCAGGCTCTGAGCCATCAGCACAGAGCCCGATGCGGGTCTCGAACTCACAGACTGTGAGATCATGACCTGAGCCGAAGTCGGCCGCTTAACCGACTGAGCCACCCAGGCGCCCCTGGGTCTGTTTACTCTTTACACACTATGCTTACCACTTGGTGTGTGTGTAGACTATGCCTAATTGAGTATCAGAGCTAAGAGTGACAGAATTTTAGAGCCTAATCTTTTGTACACAAAGAAACCAAAACTGAAACTTACCAGAGCTGCATAGCCATAAACCAAGACCACAACCTAGGTGTGCGCTACAGTAAAAACACTTTAGGTTATTGACCATGGAGAAACTTCCACTACAGAGGACATAAACTGTCTTTAGGAATTGTTATTTACAGAGGAGGTGGGGAGATGCTTTGAAGAGCAGCTTTTGGGAATTTCAGCTGGTGGGTGGCAGAAAAGCATACTAACATTTGTGCTCTCGTTAGTGCACAGTAAGATAACCAATAGTTGAGGAATGAAATGAAAAAACAGTAAAAGTTATGAGTCTTGTACTATTTCTTTTATATCCTGAGGATTAGCAATTGATTACTCAGGGATGCTTAAGACATAGAAGTCCACTCTTCTTTTTCCAAGATAATGAATACTTTAAGTATTTCATTTCTGTTTACTTCAGCATTTTCTCAATGAACAGAACTGGTTTTTAAAAATATACGTATGCACCACAAGTTTTTCTAGGGAGCAGGGGCTGGAAATAAAAAGGGGAGGCATTGTGAGGAAATGAAAGAAGCTGTAGCAAAGCTCTGAAAATTATTCTGTTGAATGTTTTTGGTAATTTCTTTGGTCTTCTTGGTCTTCTGTTTTTTGAACATGTGGGATTTTAGGCCAGACTGTGGCTCTTTCTGTTTTTGGTATTCTGTGTCTCTTCTGTCACTTGTTTGAGAATGATGATCAAGGATTTGGTTGCTTCTGTTAGGTCATAAACTGTGGTAGATTCTGTTTGATGGTCGTACTGTACAGAAGTTAGTGAAAGTAACTTGTAAAATGCTTCAGGTCTTTTTTCATCACCTCCTTCATGCTGAGACATGGCATAGGATTTGGATCTTAGATTCCTGAACCAGTTACTGGAAAAGCAAGTGCTTCTTGTTTCTACCCTGGCTTCATCAGAAGGATATTACATGAGGGTAGGGACTCTTGGCTTTATTATCCAGGGTATTGCATGACGGTAGGGACCCTGACTTTATTATCCAGCACCTAGCTAAGTTCCTTGCTCAGAGGAGGCTGGAGAATTTGAATGCACATATTAGTATATGTGGAGAGATCAGAGGGCAACAGGGCTGCAACCCCTAAGGGGTTCCGAGGGCCATTACACATATCAGTGTATTTTATTCTTGATTGCTTTGCTTATTCTGCTTATAAAAGTGACATATGTTCTTGTAAAAAAAAAAAAAAAACAAACAATACTGAAGTGTAATACACCCTTCACCAGAGTATTACTATTAACAATTTGTTATTCTTTTCATGTTAGTACGTATAAATCTTCCTCATTTTTAAAAAAATTCCTTAGTAGTCCATTGTATCAAAGTACCATCATTTTTTGACCACTCTCCTGTTCCTAGACATCGATATTGTTTGCACTACTTTCTGTTATTATAAATGATGTTATAATAAACATCTTGGTGTGTTTTTGCGCAGTTATATAAATGTGTATTTTAAAGAATAAATTGCTAGAAGTGGAATTGCTGGTTCAAAAGGTAATCTTTTAATAGGATTACCAAATTTTTATCCCCAGAAAATTGTTCAAATGCGTAATCAACAATGTTAATACTTAATTTTAAAAGGGTACCTATGGAATCCAATAGTGATTTTCCGGACTTAACTTTAATTAACGTTAATAAAAGATGAGCTCTATAATTGAGTGGAGAGAGATAGACTTTAAATGTAGAAAAATGTGGCTGGATGATAATGTTATAGATTTTTTTACTAACTGAATAACTGTGCCCAAGAGGGCTCTTGTTTTTGTGAAGTAAAGTAAGTATATAGTATACGATAGCTGGGAAGGTGTAGTTCAGGGCCACAGAGTAAGGAATAAGTGTGCTGATCAAATTTGTAGATAACAAGGGGCTTGGAGAGTTAGCCTTTGTGGAAAGTAGTGAAGTGTAGCAATATAGGGCAGAACATTGGCCTTGGCATCAGACCTGGATTTGAATCCCAGCTCTATCACCTATTAGCTTTGTGATCTTGGGTAAGTTTATTAACCTCATCCTCAATATCAGTTTTCTTATGTCTAAAATTGGATCATACCTTCTTCACAGAAGTATCATATGGATTAACTAAGATAAGTATATAGGTCTACATGTTGCAGAATTCTAGGGAACACCATTTGTGTGGAATACAGAGTTGCATAGCAGGCATGTCTGGAGTATTTAAGGTACCTGTATAGCAGTTGGCTATAGGTACTCTGGGCACTGTTGATCTAATACGTATGACATCCACCAAATTCACTGTAATTTAAGAGGTTGGATTTCTGGGTGGCTCAGTTGGTTAAGCATCCGACTCTTAATCTCAACTCAGATATTGATCTCAGAGTCATGAGTCAAGCCCTGCATTGGTCTCCATGCAAAAAGATGGATTTTGAAATAACCTCAATGTCTATGTGTCCCCATTTTTATATGTTTGTTATAGACAATTTGGAAAATACTGAAAAATTATCCTCAGATATTTTAAGTGTATCTTTTAGTCTCTCCTTTTTTTATGTAAACTTTATGGAGCTACAGTTTTTTACATGTACATTTATTTTAAAATGGAAACCATTTACAGTAAGTTTTGAAAAATTTGACAAAGGTATAGCCACCATTCCAAGATATAGAACATTTCACTCCCCTAAAGCTTTTAGTTTCTTTGAGAAAAAAATGTATGTGTGCTTCCTCTAATTTTACATAATTGGGATTCTATTGTATAATTTTTATATTTTGCTTTTCACTTACCATTATATAGTGACTATTTGTATTTTATAACCTCAGAAACTTAATTTTAATGGGTGTGTAATCCATTATTTAACATTTTCTCTATTCATTTAGGTTGCTTATACTTTTTTTTGTTTAAAAAGTTACTTATAGGGGCACCTGGGTGGCTCAGTTGGTTAAGCGTCTGACTTCAGCTCAGGTCATAATCTTCCAATCATGGGTTCAAGCACTGCATCGAGCTCTGTGCTGACAGCTCAGAGCCTGGAGCCAACTTCTGATTCTGTGTCTCCCTTTCTGTCTACCCCTCTCCCACTTGTTCGTTCTCTCTCTCTCTCTCTCTCAAAAATAAACATTAAAAAAAAACTAAAAAGAAACATTAAAAAAAGAAAATTACTTACAAATAAAAGTATATCAAATGTTCTGTATTTAGATTGTGGTGTGTGTGTTGATTATTTTCTTGGGACAGATAATAAGAACTTTGGAATTTCTGGATCAAGGAAATAAGAGTGCTTTAAAGTTATTCATATATTTTTTTAACTTATATA